TTAATTTTTTTTTTTAGGTACTGAGGATTGAACTCAGGACCCTGTGCTTGCCAGGCAAACACTTATTCTACTGAGCTATCTCCCCAGCCCCTGAGCTGTTACCCCAGCCCCTGAGCTATCTTGCTGGCCCCTAAGATTTTAGATCTGTTTTCCTATCCACAAAATGTGTATAGATTATATTTTCATAGAAATTTCATATAGAACAAAAAACTAGAAATAAGGAAAAAATGCTGAACTAAAATATATTTTATTGTCCAATGAATCAGTTGCACATGTTTAAGCTCTGACTGATACACATAAAACAGACATATGGACAATCATATAAACACATAAAACAATTATTTTAAACCAGAGTGCATGATCATACTGGAGTACAATACCCTTTTACACAAACTAGGTTTGTAAGTGCATTTATAGCCTACTGAGGGCGTTTCCCTTAGGTCAATTAACAGAAATCTTTTCTACTATACTGTTTTTTTCAGTAGCCAGTGTTTTTTGATAGCCATAACTGATGACCAAATCTGCTGTTTTGTGATCCATATATCTGTCCTCTACAGGGACAGAGCATATAAGTTTATCACCTACTTTATTTTCAAAGGAATGCTCAGGGTTGGCCGGATTTAGGAACAGACTAGGGGACAGTTTTCTGAGCTAAGTATGCACACCAAGAGTGGGGTAAGAAGGTATGCTAAGGCTCCAATTTACCCTGCTGCATATATTATTTTCTACCCCTATTGAAAAGAAAGACCAAGAACATAGCCTTGTCTACCCCTCTAGCTCTGTGCTCAATCTAATGTCCTTAGATTTAACACCATCCAGTGTCAGTGGTAGTGAACTGCAAGTGCAAGGCAGAAGCCAAAAGTGCCTTAGATTTTCCTACTGTTTGCCTGGGCCTCTTTGCTGTCAAATCTGTGATCCATGGAACACACTGATTTATGGACTTCCCTTTTTCAGAGCCTTGATTTACATCTCTCCCAGAGTGGTATCAGGGTTATCAGGAGGTTCTAGAGAGAAATGATGGCAGGAGAGAGGCATTCCCCTAGGGACAGAGACTATACACATACATTGAAACCTGTTTCTGTTCAAATATGGAAGGATGTATGAAAATGTTTTATATTTTATCCATGAACTTCTCTGTGTTGTCATTGTTTGTGTCATGGAGCAGCATTATTGAGGAGATAGAGAAATGAAAAGAATTAATCTCTAGCTCTGCCTAAGAAGGGAAAGGCTGATGAACTGAGACTAAAATATTTATAGTTGTTCTTTCAGTGGGTGAAGGCTACATCTGGACTAGCATTCTACAATATGCCCAAGATGTCTGAAAGGCAACTTCCAGAAAGGGGACAGGGAGGAAAAAACATGCTATTCTCAAAATTTTGTTCTGGGAGCAGGCTGCCAGAGAGAAGAGAATTGCTATGGGCAAAACACTGCTGTGATACATTGTGTTATTTCTCAGAGGAAGGGAAGTGGAGAAGAACAGAATAGTGAGTCTTCATGGTGCATAAACTAAATCCTACTCATCTCAAGAGCAAAAAGATAATCAAGACCAAAAGCTTTCCTAGGGTAGGTCTCTGATCTTTAGCAAATCATGTGTCCAAATTAAAAAAATAGAATTGACTCAAGCTGCATTGCAAACCTGAAAATCAGATGAATCTTCTAAGAACCTGATTGTAGGTCTCTCTAGCCTGTCACACATGAATCGTCTAACCAGACACCAGCTCTTCCAAAACCCATATGTTTGTTTTTCTAAATTAGCATAGATTCTGATTCCCTGAATCCTAGAGATTTGTGTTATGTAGCCTGGAAAGGAAAGGTGCTTTTATGGCCCTTACAGAAGGGCATTGCTCTTCAGCAGCTTAAGGAACTTCCAATTAAAAAGAAATAAGTTTTAAGATTGCACAGAAAAGCACATTACCATTTGCTGACACTGATAACAATCATCTGCAACAGAAGTTAACTTTCACCACCTGCCTCGTAGCTTCTGGCTGAATTCTCAGACATACCTGTGTGAGCTGCAAAACAATTAGAAATTAAAACAACCATTCTACCATACTGCTTAAAAGAGAACAGTGAGCCATTTAATGGCTACCAAAAAAAGAGAAAAAATAGAGGCAAATCCAGGAAGTAGTATAGAAGTAAGTCTCAATGCAGCTATAAAGAAATAGCAATACAAGACTCTGCCTTCAAAAGTAAGAAATGTCCTGTTGAAAAAGATAAATCAAAATCCATCACAAAGTTTTCCAGCTCTCAACTTTTAACACAGCTCAAGAAATTGATAAAAGGAAAAAGTAACCAGAAAAGCATAGAGGACAACTTCTATTACCTCAATAATTCACAATGCAGACTCAAGTGAAAGTATTTTGAGATGCCGTGAAAAGACAGCACACTCTTCTCTCCTTCTGCTATCATGGTGGAACCTCCCAAATGAAGGAAGAGAAGCATAACTGCCCACATTTTGGATATGACACGGGAAGTCTGTGCAACCTGACATCAAGGATGAAATTCAAGGGAGAGAACAGATTAAGAGTAGGATCAGTTTATTGAGACTTAGGTTGTCCTGAGAGACAGTAGGGGGCACTAATGGGTTGCAACAGAGGCCAATCATCACAGGTATTGTATACAGCAAAGGTATTGTATACACAATGAGTGTACAACATCAATCAAACTCCAATGAACCTGTAGGTTTACAAGTAGTCAACATTTCTAATGTTCACCCATTTGGGAACTGGGGCATGGGGTAAGCGTATGGCTGACAAGATGAACCTTGGCTTATCTATCATTTCTGAACAGTTATTTTAGGAAGGGAAGGATCCAGCTTGTCTTTTTTGATATGGACTCATCTCTTATTGTCAGAGAAAATTGGGTCCTTCTTGTCACTTAGAATGGCTGCGGTCCACATTGTGGGAGATCTTGTTCTTACTCTGGGCATTGCTTCCTGCCTCCCAAGGGCAAGACATTGCACTGTTTTGTCTCCTAGTAGAGATTGGCTAGAAGGCTTTCCTGCTACCTATTTGGCTGTCTTCACTGTCAGAGGAGCTTGGGACCTTGTTTTAATGAGAATGACTATGGTATCTTTTGTGGAACCTCTGGCTCTTACAGTGAGTATCATTTCCTGGATCCAGGGCAGAAACCTCAGCGTGCTAACCCAGATGTCTCATGCCATGGACATAAACTTTCTATATTCCTTCAGTGGCTTTGCACTTATCTAGTGCAAATCTATGAAACAAACTTGCATGTAACATTGTCATGGACTGGGGCTCTGGTTGGACTCATGGGTGCCGTTGACATGTGATGCAGGCCCTCAGGTGGATTCTTTGTCTCTCTAGCATGTGGACAAATTCTCTATATTGTTTTGTAGTTGACTCTCTAGGTGACTATGATAGAATAAGCCTATAAATAATGGGACCTGTATTGCATTGTCTTCCTTCCAGATGTTGACTACAATGGGTCTCACCAATATCTGTTTCTTCTATCACTGTAAATTAATTGAGTTTTTTCCCCATTCTCTGCATCATCCCAGAGTAATCAAAAGTATCACACAACAGTGAGATATCAACAGTCATCTTGACACCAACACAGTTTCTCTTAGCTAAATATTGGAAGCAACCCAAAAGAATCCCAACCAACAAATGGATAGTAATAATAATACATGGTTTTTACAATTTACAGAAACAGAGAATTATTCAGCCATAAGGAAAGGTAAAATTGAGACATTTATTGGTATATCACCTTGAGACCATAATGATCTGTGAAATAAATCAGACACAAATGTGTAAATATTACATTACCTCTCTGGTATAAAAAACTGAATATGTATATAACAGAATAAGCATACAATAGATACTGTGGAATAGGAAGAAACTCTTCAAATGGAAACAGGAAATAAGGAGGGCCCAGGAGAGGGAAGGAAGGAAATGAAAAATGAGCAAAGAAGGGTAAAATGAAATGCGTGCTCTCTGAACATGAAGGGCAAGCTGGGTTGAAAAGAAGGACTGAGAAGAGGAGTTTTTTAAAAAGGAATTAACATATATCATTTACAGACACAAATTGTAGAAATGAGCTTCAATTTGAAAAAAAATGATCTTAGGCTTTAATCAAAGCACAGTTTACTCCTAAGAGCAGCTCTTTCCTTCACTGAGTGCAGGAGCAGTGGGGCACACTCGCTGAACACCCGCTGGATGTTCCTATGGTCCATAGCACAGGTGAACTGAGGATAGCAGTGGCTGTCCTCATTGCCACCAGCACTGGCGATGTTCAGAAACTTGTCCCGAATGAAGTACTTGGTCCGAGTCACGCGAGGGTCCTCTCCAGGCTCAGAAGCAGCATCATCAGGAGTAGTGTAGTAAGCAAATTCTGGAAAGTAGTCTTCGATCTTCGATTTCCCAGCAAGTACTTTCTCAGCCAGGAGATCTTGCTTGTTGAGGAAGAGAAGCACACAGTAGGGGCGAGGACATCTGCACCAGAGGGACCTGAAAATGTTGAGAGCTTCCTGCAGTCTGTTGGTTCCCATGAAATTCTGGTCGTAGCTGCTGCTGTCCACCATGAAGATGATGGCAGTGTAGTTTTTGAGGATCTCGGCCCATACCCGGTTGATGTAGTAGAGCCCGTTCACGCACAACATGTGGAAGTTGACTTCGTCCACTTGAAACTTGCTATCAAAGATTCTTGGGATGTGGATGCGGCAGCGAAAGAGATCCTCGGGGCTGGGCTTATAGTGGGGCTTCCTGATGACATCAATCTTGTCCAGGAAGTAGCGGGAGTGGTCTAGCAGCCCGGCCTGTGCACAGCGGTTGTAGCAGGAGCGCACACCCTCGTCCTCCCACAGCGCCTTGATGTGCTCGAAGAATTCAGGAGGAAAACTGAACCTGAGCTCATCTCTGGCCCCCAGGATGTAGTCCACTCTGAACTGGTTCTCAGGGTGGGCCAGCTCAGCAGGTGGCCGCAAGCTACTCATAGCCAACAAGACATTTTCAACTGCTTCCTTTAAGGAGTTTCTGACCTTCTGCACTTCAGAGGCCCGCTCACTAGCTCCATCAAACCTCTGCCCACGCAGCATCTTTACCTTCTTGAAAAGGGTGCTTTTGCCAGATCCCATAGGCCCCAGCAGCAGTAAGCGGTGCGTGGGTCCATGGCAGTGCTTGTTCTCCTTCAGCTGTCTGTGCGTCCCTTTCCTCACCTCACGCAGCTTCTCGTCCCCGCACTCGCGTTCTCTCCTGTAGATTCCAAACCAGCTCATGGCCAGGCTGCTAGATCAGGCCTGGATGCTGTGGTGGGGAGGCCAAGGTGCTGAAGGCACTGCAGGACCTGGAGATTGCGCGGGTGGTCCAAGAACAAGATTGGAGCTGCTCCCTCTCTGCTCTTAGTGGTCTGCAGACCTGGCTTGCAGGTCGCCACTCCTGCCCATCCGGGTCGCGGTGTAGGCTCTGAGTGCTGGCCACAAGAGGAGGGAGAGGGTTGAAAAGGAAGAGGTGGGCGGAGTAGAGGATGGGAGAGATGTAGGAACAGGTGTGTCTTCCATCTTGGGTATTTCTGGTTGGAGGATTTCACACTGAGGCCAACCCCAGTAGAAAGAGCTGGAGGCCTTCTTCTCTCATCTATCCATGCACTGCCACCCCTAAAGAGAGAAGATCGCAGGGAAGACCTGACCACTGCTTTGGAGACAAATGCTCCCTACCCTTTCTTTCTTTCTCTTTCTTTCTTTCTTTCTTTCTTTCTTTCTTTCTTTCTTTCTTTCTTTCTTTCTTTCTTTCTCTCTCTCTCTCTCTCTCTCTCTCTCTCTCTCTCTCTCTCTCTCTTTCTTTCTTTCTTTTTATCTTGAGACTGGATCAGTCCATGGAGTGGAGGCTGACCTTAAACATACTATGTAACCCAGGATAGTCTCAAAGTCTAAGAATCTTTCTGCCTTAGTCTCCCAAGTACACTGAACATTTTTAATGAATTTACAGTCTCTACTTATTTGTCATCTTCAAATTTTATGGGGTTTTTGAGTTTTACTTATGTGGATTCTTATATTTTGAATATTAATCCCAATGGATGAGTAGATGATTTGCAGCTCTTTTTTCTCTCATTTTGACAGCTGACTTTATATTCAGTTGTTTCCTATGCAGAGCAAAATCTTTGCAGTGCAGAATCTTTTTAATTGGATGCAGTGCAGTGTGCTTCTTTTGCTTTAGCTGCTCAAGCTTCTGGTGTCATACCTGAAAAATGATCTCAAACACAGTGAGAGGAAGTGTTCACACTGGCTTTTTCGAGGTGTTTTATGATTTGGTGTCGTCTTCTTGAGGTTTCAATTCATTTGGTTGAATTTTGTGGATATTATAAGATACAGATCCCATTCATTTTTAGTTTAAGTGTACACTTACCCAGTGTAACCAGTGCCAACTATTGAACAGATCATCTTTTTTCCTTTGTGTATAATCTGTGCCATTCCCAAGCTTTAGTTGGTCATAAGAGTGGGGATTTCTGGGATTGCTATTATATTACATTGTTGGGTATGAATCTTTTATGGCAGGAATATATTCTTCATGGCTGAAGCTAAGGAATACAACTCAAATTCAGGAGTGTTAGACCTCCATCTTTATCCTTGCTCAAAATTCTTTTACTTACTTTAAGTCTTCAGTGCTTCCATGAAAATTTTAACAACTTTCCTCTTTCCTTGTGAAAAATGCTATTGGAATGATGAGAAATTGCATTGAACCTATGCATTGTCTCAGTTTGTATGGATAGTTTGACAACATTGATTCTTCTGATTGTGAATATGGTCAGCTATTTATTCATTTGAATGCTTCTCAGTTTAATATGCAGATATTTTACATTCTTCATTAAATATATTGCTAAGAATATTTTTTCTTTCCATGCTGTTTCAAATGGGATTCTGTTTAATACTTCTTGGATGGCACATAGTTACTATTTAGAAATGTAAGTAGTGTCTCTATGCTGATTTTGTACTTCGCAATTTTAATAACATTGTTTACCAGTTATGTTTTTCAGTATAGTCTTAGGGATTTTTCTGTATAAGAACATCTTCTCTGTAAACAGAAAAAATTGTACATGCTTGTTTCTTCTATAAAACCTCCTGCTTCTTTTTTCTAGTCTAGTTTTTCTGATTAGGACTTCCAGTTCTATATGGCAATATAAGTAGCAAATCGGTCATGCTCCGAGGCTTAAAGAAGATCCCTGAAAGGCACAGCTTATGGAGAAGAGATTTAATTTGTGTCACAGCTTCAGGGAACTGAGTTATAGGTAGCTAGCTCTGGGCAAATCCAAGATGGCCCAGGACAGGCAGAGGGGAAAACTGCTCGATACATGACAGCCAGGAACAGAGAGTGGGAGACAGAAGGCACAGAAGCATGGGGACAGGGACTTTCCACACCAGAAGCCCAAGAGCCACTGTGCTCATCAGGCTGCATTTCTCAGCACATTCCATTGAAATCGAAGAACAATATCCTTCGGGGCAAATCAAGGTTTGTTAAAAAGTTCATTTTTCCTGGAGAGACTGGCTGTGTCATATGCAATGATCCTGTAACCTTTTGAGAAAATGGGAAATTCCCAAAATGACAGTATGAATTCACTGTCTTTTGATCTTGCTGGTCTTACATTACCTCACAGCATATGAATTTTGGCCTTCCAAATTTATATCTTCATTGGGAAATTGAGGAACATGCATCTCAGTGCCCCAAAGGAGAAAGAAAATGTTTGAAGTCACAAGTGAGTCACCTTAAATTAGAGTGAAAGAAGTAGGTCATCTTATCAGGTAAACAACATCTAGTTCCTTTTTTGACATTTAACTTTAAACACATGATTTGTTTACTATTTCTCAGCTCTTTGAAAGTACATTTTTGGTTTTGAATTTTTCACTTATTGTGTTATAAAGAGAATCTGCTCTTTACTTTGGAACTTTTCAAAGAAAATTACTCTTAATCTTTGGTCAATTTTTTATAGGCTATTTTTTAAAATTCTGCTTCTTTTTAAAAAATTAGTCTATTTCATCTTGATATGGATTATAGTTACTCTTTAAAATTTTTCTCAGAGATGACTGGGGCTGCAGGATCCTGAATAGACTCAGAGTGCAGGCCAGAGAGTGAGTGAGATGCCCCGGGGCCCGGGGCCAGCCTGATCCTGAATAGACCCAGAGCCCAGGCCCAGCATGTAAATGAGACCACTCAGGGCCTGCCGATCTTCATTCTACCCAGAGTGCAGGCCCAGCAAGGAAGCCTTCAGCAGAACTTCCTGCAAAGAGACTAGAGGCAAGACTCACTCAGCTGATTCAGGAGCAGAACATCTTGCCAGAGAGACACAAAGGGTTCCACTCTAACGGCTGCAGCAGAAAGAAGTGGAGCACAGCAACCAGATCCAAACAACACCCACCTGGAGGAATCTGAACTTCATAGATCCGGACCTGGTGCTAAGGTAACTCTATCTAAGCTCTACACCAAAGGTCAGAAGACAG